AAAGGTTCTCTGGAGCTCCAAAGGTCGGAATCCAGCGATTTAAAGTTCCCAAATACAAGCTGCAAATTGATTCACTGACCAACAGCATCTTCCACGTGTGTTTTAATATCTCCTTGCCTGGCTGAGCACCGAGGTGCCCAATGAATTGTTCCTGTGCAGCAGCAAAGCGGGGAGGAGGAACAAAGTGGAGCAGGGAAGAGAGAAATCCAATTTGGGCCGGGGAGTTTATTGAATCTCAATTGTGCCCAGTTGGCCCACGAGCGATGGGAGCAATCCATCTTGTGTGATAATGGAGGGGCCTGAAACCCACCTGATGTTTGCATTATTAAATTCCAGCCTAATGAGCTCTGCTAATCCATATTGAAGGCAGTGGTAAGGAGCGGGATGGGAATGGGAGCGGGATAATTTGAGAGAAACATAAGCTGAGCATTTTACATGACTCAAGGGGTCCAGCTACAATTACACATATCACCCAAATTGAATTTAAATGGGATTTCTATTATCCCTGTCCTTTTACCAAGGAGAATAAAGTGTAAATGAAGTAAAAGTCTTTCGAGTTACCCCTGGTTTGGTTTTATTATCTGATTTAATAGATTCTTGTAACGATCTTCGGTGGCAGAAAAGTTTTAATATTTCAGGGCTTTAAATGTTGTCTAAATATGTATAAAAGTGTGGAAGTGGGACCAGAAGTGTGTAACTGGAACCAGAAGTCTGTGTCATGACTTCTGTCATTTGTAACACCCCGTTCACGTTGTGCATTTTGAGGTGTAACCACTGAAAAAAGGTTGGAACGACCCCTTCACCCCCCTCCTGATATGAATTTGATTTTTAGAAATGATTGCTTGATTCAGTAGTTGGTGGGACTAAAACTTTAGAAAACTGACCACGCTTTTGCCCTTTGTGCCCCAGTTTACAGTGATTTTATTGCCTGGTTTAAACCCTGAGCTCCTGTTTTATTTTTGGTTCTTTTGGCCTGCTGATACTTTTGAAAACTTAATATTTCATCAAGTATAATGTTATTAGAGGCTTATTCTCACTTAGTTCACTCATCAGGCAGTGAGATGGCAATAAAAGAGAATGGCTCCTTTGAGACATTAATGCTTTGGAATAAATGATGTGCTAGAACAGAAATTTAATTAATTTACAGAGTATATTGATAGTCCCTTGTTACTGTGCTGTATATTTTTAATCTTCTTTAACATCTGTAGTAAAGTGTTTGAAAACCCCTGCAGTTGAGCAACTAGTAGATAATTAAGTAATAAGGGAAGAGGTTTCTAGAGGGAAAAAGATTCTTTTTAAGGAATATTGTTGTAACATGAGTAAAGGAGCACTGCTGTGATTTGGAGTGAAGAGAAAATTGTGTTCTGCCTAATAAAGTCCTGAGTGAGAGGGGTTTGACTCCTCTTCTAAATGCAGCTCTGCATCCCTGAAAATGTTGTTTGCTTTGTGGTTTATCCCTGGAATAGGTGTCCTGGATTACTCACTATGGCAGCAAAGCTGCCACTCCACAAATGCTCCGTGTTCGGGTCGTTATCGGTCGCTTTGGGGGCAACTGGGGTGGGCAAGGTCTGTGTTCAGAGCAAAAAAAACCCTCTCAAAAGTCTCTCCAAAGTTTTACTGAACAAAAAATAAAAGCAGGGATTTGAATTGAACTCATTTGCGACCGTTATTGCCCCAATATTACCCTCCAGAGTCCCATTTATGCTGCTTCTTACCTGTAGGAAAATCCTTAAATAAAATAGGTGAAGGACAAAGTGCTTGTTCTCTCCTGCCCGTGGATTTCCTTGTGGGACCTCCAAAAAGGAATCTGAAATTGGGTTCAAACTCCGGGAAATGTTGTTTGGCAACAGGTTGTTGGCAGCACATCCCTGGAAGTGTCCAAGGCCAGGTTGGACGGGGCTTGGAGCAACCTGGGCTAGTGGAAGGTGTCCCTGCCCATGGCAGGTGGTGGCACTGGATGGGTTTTGAGGTCCTTCCAACCCAAACCACTCTGTGATTCTATAATTTTATAAGATAAATTACCTAATTGTAACATTTACATCATTTTTCTTTTCCTTTTAGCTAAAGCAGACGAAGCCCTGAAGGCCAAGGAGAGAAGTGAAGAAGAAGCCAAGAGGAGAAAGGAAGAAGGTGAGGAATTGTTTTGCAATTCAGTGACAAACTAAAGCCCAGTCAGTCAGAGCTGATGGTTTTTAAGGGTCCCAGCTCCAGTGGGATGGTGGGAATTCCCTACAGCTGACAGTTCATTTGGGTGTTCAGTCTGTGGGATGCCATGACATGAGTTCTCGCTGAAATTTGGTGCCCTCAAAGCTGGTGGGATCAGAGCTGTTCCCTTTGGAATGCAGCAGGTGGAATAACCAAACCAAATGGATTTTGCTGGTGGGATCAGAGCTGTTCCCTCTGGAATGCAGCTGGTGGAATAACCAAACCAAATGGATTTTGCTTGTGTGTCAGGGAGTGATGGGAAGAGACGTTTCCAACAGGGTGAGGGAGCCAAGGGAAACCATCCCAGGAGCCTCAGTTGAGCTGGGACAGAAATCCCAGTCCCTGAGGAAATATCCCAGTTGTTCAGATTGCAATGAATCCTTTCAATGGGACTTCCATGAGTTTCTGTTTGACTCAAACACACAGAAATACAGGGAAGGGCTTCCCTTCCTGGCTGTGTTTCCAGTGTCCATGGGAATGTTCCTGATACTCCCTGTCCTCTGCTCCTTGCACCTTCCAGTGCTCTCCAAGAGAGCTGGAGAGGGAATTTGGAGTGGCAGGACAGAGGGAATGGCTTTCCACTGCCAGAGGGCAGGGTCAGGTGGGATATTGGGAAGGAATTCTTGGCTGGGAGGGTGGGGAGGCCCTGGCACAGGTTGCCCAGAGAAGCTGTGGCTGCCCCTGGATCCCTGGAAGTGTCCAAGGCCAGGTTGGAGCAACCTGGGCTAGTGGAAGGTGTCCCTGCCCATGGCAGGGGGTGGCACTGGATGGGCTTTAATGTCTTTTCAACCCAAACCATCCTGTGATTCCATGATTTCCTCACAAGAGGTAACTCAGGAAAATTCCCTGTCTGAATCCACGGCTGCCGTGAGTTTCATTCCACATCAAAATGTTCTGATCATTCAGGAGTTTGACTTTGGGCCTGTGGGATGCCCAGAGGGATTAATTGGTGCTCAAAGTTGATCCTACTTGGAGAAGGTACTTAGGATAGTGAAGGCAAGTGGAAAAGTGGGATATCCCAGATGTGCCTTGGAAGGAAGAGGAAGGGGCACTTGGAATTCTGGCTGGAAAAGGGACTAAACCAACAAGCTGTGGTCCCTCCCCATTGTAATTCCTGGATTTTGGAGCCATCCAGCTCTGCTGGGCCCATGGAGAAACCTCCACCTGCAGGAATCCCAGAGCCAGGCTCCAGCTGTCGGGATGAGGTGTTTGGGTGCCAATGGCACGAATTTGCAGGGAATATTTGGAAAAGAACATGGGTTTTTTCCCCTTCCATCCCATTGTGAGTGACACATGTGGTAGTAATTGCTCTGCCAACAGGAGGAGGGAAGTGGGAGCATGGAGAGACAGAGGGAAGAAAAAAGGGGCTGTTTGTGACTTGGGAACAATGGGAATTTACAGGGAAACTGGAGGAATTCTTTTCAGTTTATTAATAAGCCCCATAAAAACTGTCCTGTGGTGGCTTTGAAGGAGTTGTGAGTGTTCTAAAATGAATAGAAAATGTTTCCTGAAGAGAAACTTCTTCCCTCAAATTCATCAGTTGGCTGAGGAATCACTTCCCAACCAGGAGCAAAGTGATGCATTTTCCCTGGAAAATAAAAGGTCTCATTAAATTGTACATGAAGAATTTAAGCATCCCAAGCCCATGCAAGACATCCAGGGAAACTGCACACTGGGAAACTCCAGTTTTAGGGAAGTTTATGTCCCACATGGATTTAAAATTCCAGTTGTAGGCAGGTTTGTGTCCCGTATGGATTTGCAAACAGGACATTTTTCCTGTGTCTTCCCTCCCCCATCCCGTCCATGCTGGGCCCCAGTGACAACTTTTTCTTGAAAAAAAGAGATTTTTGCCTTTTTTCTTAGTTCTTCTTTCCTCACACAACATCTGTGGGTGGGTTTGAACCCTCTTGGAACCACAGGATCCCTGAGGTTGGAAAAGCCCTCCAACACCATCGAGTCCAACCTGTGACTGATCCCCACCTTGTCACCCATCTTTGACTTTTTTAATTAATTCACCTATTTCATTAAGGGCATAATTATCCATTGGGATTCCCTGCCTACTCCCCCAAGCCCCTATGGTTGGAATAATGCCAATAAATAAGGAAATAATAAGGAAATGGGAAGGAATGTCCAGCTACAAAGTTGACACTTGTTTTGACCTTATTCTGTCTGTGCATCTTCAAGCAACAGTGTTGGCCTGAAATATCCACAGGGTCATCAGTAAATTGTTGTAAACCGTTTTCAAAGGTCATTTAAAAAAAAATTAAATCTCAATCATTTTGGTTGGAAAAGAGCTCTGAGATCACCAGGTCCAACTTTTGACCAGTCATCACCTGGTCAACCAGACCAGAGCCCCGACTGCCACGTCCAGTCATTAAAATAAAGTAGAATAAAATAAAATAAAATCTTTTTGAAAAAAATTCTAAATTATGATTTAAAAAAAATTTTGACTTCCCTGAAATCCCTCATTTTATTTGCTTAAATACAACTCCTCAAAAGGACCTTCCAGCGAGTTCCTGTGATTCCTCTTCAACCTTTACCGAGGAGCTGCAATAAAAGTAATTGTACAAACGAAACAATCCTTCCCCACCCCATAAAAAGTGGTTTTCTCCCTCACCCCGTGGCGAGGGTGTCTTAACATTCCTTTTATTGTCCCTTTATTGGCGAATCAGGGCTGAGATTAGATGGGGGATGTTCCCTGTAATCTGCTCGGAAATCAAATTATTTGACCTCCCAGCCCAGCTCTGCCCCTTCCCGCTGGTTCCCTGTTAAATATGCAGCATTTCCCTGGCATGAATAAAAAATTGAGGACAAATTAGAATCTGCAGCCAGCTGACCCCAGCCCAGATTAGAGACTGGGGGGCTTGTGCTGCTTTAAATGTTTTAATTACCGTCGCTCGAAGGCCATGCAGCAAAATGCTGATTTATTTTCTATTTTTTTAGGGACAAAAAAAAGCAAAGCAAGAAAGAAAAAGGGCTCCCTCGGCCTCATTTGAATTTTTCAGTTTGATTACATTTGCACTTCCATGGGGGTTATGTTAATTTGCTGCATGAAATTAGGTCTATTAACCAAAAATGTGACTTTTTCTGGGAGTGTTTTGGAGGGTTGGATTGTTCCTGTTTGGGTTTTTGTGGCTTGCATTGGGAGTGCCTGGAAAACATCAAAATCCAAAGGGGATTTACCCACCAAACTCGATTTTCACTCCAGACAAATTCCAAGTGGCTGAAGTGGGTGATGGAAAAATTGACATAAAACCCACCATGAGCCAGGATGGAAAAATCCGAAGTGAGTCCCATCTAGATGTAAAATTCCAGTTGTAGATGGGTTTATGTCCCATATGGATTGAAAATTCCAGTTGTAGGTGGGTTTATATCCCATATAAATTGAAAATTCCAGTTGTAGGTATGTTTGTGTCCCATCTGGATGTAAAATTCCAGTTGTAGGTAGGTTTGTGTCCCATTTGGATTTAAAATTCCAGTTGTAGGTGGATTTATATCCCATATAAATTGAAAATTCCAGTTGTAGATAGGTTTGTGTCCTGTATGGATTGAAAATTCCAATTGTAGGTAGGTTTGTGTCCCACTTGGATTTAAAATTCCAGCTGTAGGTAGGTTTGTGTCGCATATGGATTGAAAATTCCAGTTGCAGGTGGGTTTGTGTCCAATATGGATTTAAAATTCCAGTTGTAGTCAAAATTCCAGTTTTGGCCGACATTAGGGAGAGATTTTGGGCTCCTTTTTCTTCATGTCCCATGAATAATAATAGTTTTAAATATTCCATGGAAACTGTCAGGGGCACATTCCCAGCGCCACGTGGGGAGGAGGAGCTGGGCACGCACCAGAAAACAAGGAAAAGAAGTTTTCCCAGAAAATCAGCAGTGCTAAATGGGACTTTTTGGCAGCCAGGCCCTGGGTGAGTGGCTGGGAGGGTGGGGGGGGTTGTTATCCCGGTGCCTTTCCCTTGGAATTTGCATTCCCCGTTCCCGGCGCGTGCCGGCCCAGGGTCGAATTGATTAGTTCTTCCTCCCCTGTAGGCACTGCAACATTTCGATAGACTCTGGGGAAATAAATTTGGCACGAGGAGATTTAATTATCACTCGGAGACCTTTCCCTTTCCTGCCTCAGTGATCCCGAAAGTCCCGCGCGCGTTTCCCCGGAATCGGCGCCGACGCCGAGCGGCGCTTCCCGATCCGTCCCCCTCGCTCAGTGATAAACCCAAGCAATTACCAGGTTATTGATTTTTCATCAGGGCAAATTTAAAGTTGATTTTTGCCTGTGCAGGGGGGTGTGTGTGTGTGATGAAGTGTTTCCCGGCGGTTCAGTCCCAGGGAGCTGCGGCACAAATCCAATATCCCGAGGTTGGGCCCCGGCTCCGAGATAATAACGGTGCCTGGGCCACGTGCTGGGGAGAGGAATCAGGGCTACAAATGCGAGGGGATATGTGTGGAGACAGTTTAATTTGTTCCATTTGTGTGAACAAGTCGTGTGGCACATGCTTGGGAAATAGCATTTGGAATGGGCTCGGCGATGGAGCCACGTGGGCAGGGAGGGAGGGGATGCGCCGGAGACACGGCTGGGCCTGGACCAGGGAATAAAGCCCAGCCCGGGGGGGTTATTCCCAGATTTTACTGAGCTCAACGTGCTGCTGTGGGGGCTTTCCTTTAGCAAACTTAAACTCTTCAGGTCTGAAGAATCCCAGAATTCCAGACTGGGCTGGAAGGACCTCAGAGCCCACCCAGTGCCACCCTCTGCCACGGGCAGGGACACCTTCCACTATCCCAATAGCCTTGGACACTTGCAGGGATGGAGCAAAATAAGATGGGTTTGTGTTCTTGCAGGGAATGCCATGTTGGAACATGTGGATTAACAGGATTTAACTCAGAGCACGAAAACTGAAAACTGTGCTTTCTACAAGTGAGAGAACA